ACTTCTCAGGTGAACTGGTTGATGGCTGTCGCAGTCGAGCCACTGCAAATAAGGCCCACTCTTGCGGAAGTGTTTGGAAGGCGGAAGTCCTCTTCTCGGTGAGACTAGAAGGTTGCTGCCCGTCAGCAGTCCTCAACCAGCCATACAGGAGAACAGGTGACAGTTGCGCCAGCCCAGTGTGTAGAGTTGGCAGAGACTTGTCCAAAAAGACTCTCAGCTGTTATTGCTGCCAAACGCTTACTTACGCTTGACCCGGCAGGGTGGATACTTTTGCTGGTGTATCTACTGTGTGAGTCTTAGATTTTGTCTTTGTAGTTTTTGCAGATATTTACCTTCTTTTACCCATCGGTGTGATTGGTGTCGCTGATAAATTCTCACTTTGAAAGGGTATAGACATCATGTGTAAACGGGGTGGAGCATCGTTGGAAGGTGGTGAATAATCATCGTTATTAAGATGTCTTTCTCCACAGTCCTGTAGTGAACGGCAGATCTGACACTATTTTGATGTATTTTTGGGGTTATTTTTGTTGCTCGCACCTGTTCTGGAACAGCCAGTTGTGTGTTGTTCAGTTTGTATGCTGCCTATGCAAAACCTCTGCAAGGGACTTGGGTGGTTTCCCAAAACCTAGTAACTCAGTAACTGCAGCTACAGGGCTCACAGCAGTTACTAGGTTTTGGGAAACCACCCAAGTCCCCTGCAGAGATTTTGCATAGGCAGCTTACAAGGTGGCTCTCGGAGAGATGGGTGGCACACGATCAGTGTAGTTTGACTGGTTTCTCAACAGTCTGTGCAAAAATACGGCACCTTGGGTCTCGGGTCCAGCTGGTCCAGCTGTCGGCCCCAGACTCTCCTCTGAAGGTGAAGCTCCAAAACTGCCCCACTTTTTCTCAAAACCTCTAAAAACAAGAGAGCAGAGAAAATACATTTCTGGACTGCTGTGAGATGTGAAGTGGACAGTGGACAGAAGTGGCGTCTACCTACAGTCCCTTCTTAATTCATCTGGTGGAGCAGTTTCTCTCTCCTCCCCCTGTGCTGAATGGCTGCTGTGTGTCTCCCAGGTGGGGTTACTGGTGCAGAATGACATCTGTGTGTCTTTCAGGTGGGGCTGCGTTTCAGTGGTGGAGGAAGTGTCCTCTCCTATACAGGATGTGTAAAGTGCTTTAAGATCCTCTGGGGCTCCAGCAGTATAAAACTATGAGGAAATGCTATTAAAAGCCTTTTCTCCATTGACTCGAAGAACGGGGAGAGATTCCCTGTCCTTGTGACAGTGCCGGTACCTGGGAAAACTCAGAAATCTTACTAAAAACCTTGTCTGGTTTTGCAGGGGAACCATTCTTGGCCTGTGGGAATCCCACACTAGAAGCTGGTAGGCAGCCCGGAGAGCTCCCGGCTCCAACACACAGTTCCCTGTTCCGCCACGGAGGTGAACACCGGACTTCATGTTTGGCACGCAGGCAGCGCTCCGGCTCTGTGGTTGTCCTTCTGAAAGACCATGCTTGGAGCTCTGCTTCGGAGAAACATGTCCCAGAAGCTCAGCGTGCTGCTGCTGCTCTTCGGCTTTGCCTGGGGCCTGATGCTCATGAGGTACACCTTTCAGCAGCCCCGGCCACAGAGCAGCGCCCAGCTACGGGAGCAGATCCTGGATCTCAGCAGGAAATACGTCAAAGTGCTGACTGAGGAAAACCAGAATGCAGACGGATTGCACGGCACATCCATGGCTGGATACGGTACGTAGCAGGGGAGCACGATGTGTCGGAGGCTGATGTATTATTCTCCGGGAAATTATTATTATTTATAATTATTATAAATTATTATCGTTCAGTTTATTTATCAAAGTTTATTTGATAAATAAACTCTGATTTGATTTATTATTATCGTTCTGATACTGGGATTGCAGCCGATAAGGCGGCTGCGCCCTGTTTCTGTCCGTGCAACTCGTGTGTTTCATGTGTGCGCTCCGACGCACCAGACTGGGTCCAGTACACCTGCTGCAGAGGGAAGGTGTCGGCGGTGGGGAACTTTCTCACCATTTCAGCAGAGGACAACGGAATCGCAATGTTCGACAAATGTGCAGCGAGGAGGAAACGGAGTAAAGATGGTCGATACCACTGATCGAATTGGTCTAATTGAAAACCCGTCATTCCAGTGATTTTATTTAAAGAATATGAGGCATTAGCAAGTGAACAAAAACGGTAGTGAGTGCAGCGTGCAGGCATGTGAAAATTGCAGAAAATGTGCCAAGGACAGTCCGAGGGCTAGGGCAGTCACAGACACAATCGTGGAGTTTACGGCACTTGATGACCAGCCCTTCTCGACTGTGGAGGATCGAGGATTCAATCGACTACGTGAGCGTTTGGAACCCCGTTACACTCTCCCAGGCCACCACTGCTCTTCTGATGTTCCCTTCTCGGCTCTGTATGACGCTGTTGACACACACACACACACAGCCTGATCAAAGCTGACGTCGGAGACATGAGCTTCAAATGCAAAAAAGTAAAATGACCTGTTATCGGTATCAGTCGGCCACAACAAGCTGTTAATTATCGGTTATCGTTATCAGCCCAGGAATTCCACGCAGGTGCTTCCCTGGTGTGTGGTTTTACTGATGTTTAGGTCCCAGGCTGAAACAGTGGTGTTTCAGTTCAGTAGATCTTTGGGCTCATGTTTCAGCTATAGGTGTAAAAGCAACAATGATTACTTGGGTTCTATAGAGTGACTGAATCCCAAAGGATCCCTAAGCACTTTGTACACAAGAGGGGACCTGTGTCATCCACCACTGAAGTGAGGCGCCACTCTGGGTGATGTGTGTCAGCCGTTCTGTGCCGAAAGCTCCACCAAGCAGCAGATCAGATGTAGGAGTGAGAAACTGCACCACTGACTGAATTAAGGGGAGGCCTTCTCAAGCCTGTCAGTTCAACTCAATTTATTTTCATGTAGTGCCTCTGGGCAACCATGTCTGTTCAATACAGACCAGAAGACAACGGAGGAGAGGAACCAAAAACTCCTCAGTAAGGAAAGAAAAAAACGCTAGGGGTCCAAGGTCAACTGGCTGCCCAACCCCTTTGGGCATGCTAACATATATATATATAATTTAAAAAAGGAAACGATGAGGGTATTAATCCGTCCAGCCATCATATCTTCTGTGTGCATATCTCTGTAGACCAGTAAATTCCTCCTAAACGATGGCTATATCCACGATGTCCCTCTGGGATTCATGGCAATGATGGAGCATTCAACTCAGATGGTGGCCAGTCCGGGCGCCATCCAGACATGTGGGGAGGAGAGTAGGATAGTCTGGTCAGAACAGATGTATCGACCTGGTGGGCCAACACAGAGACACACAATGGCATGTATAGTGGCACCAGCAGCCATGGCTGCAGAGCAAAAGCAAACCAGAGGTGAGAAGTGACCGGTTAAGAGGCAGCTGTAAACTAAATCCCCCGGGGGCCGTGAGGACGCAGGGCGGCCCGCGTCGGGACTGTGCGAGGTTTGTTTTCATCGGCCCTGCGGTGTCCCTGTGTTCCAGCCGACCTCCGCCGGACGATCGCGGTCCTGCTGGACGACATCCTGCAGCGCCTGGTGAGGCTGGAGGGCAAGGTGGACGTCGCGGCGAACGGCTCGGCCGCGAACGGGACCGGCGCCGTGACGGCCCCGCCCCTCCCCAGCGGGCCCGCGGAGAGGCCGGGCCGCGGCAGGTAGCTGGCTCAGGGGGCGTCTTCCACTGCGCCCCCCCCGGCTGTCCATCACAGACGTTTCCGAGGGTGACTCTCGGCGTGGGAACCTGTCTCCTCTGGGGTTTATTTGAGCAAAATCGGATTCTGTTAGCGAGCGCTAAGCAGATCCACGGGATCTGCGGTTTCTGCCCTGAGACATTGACACACTTGCCTTTATCACTTTAATGCCCCTTTTCACCGCGGAAGACTTCGCCTGGCAGTCGTCGGCTTTCATCAAGATCGTGCGTGATCCTGCTTCAGACATCTACTTTACAATGTACAGTAAGAGACGAGTTAAAACCCAAAGAATGTAATTATTTGCACTATATATGAAAGCTAGGCTGTTTTTAATTTAAAAAAAAAACTGATACAAACTTAAAAGCGCCGGAATGCAAGCTTTATCTAACTTTAAAAAAAAAAAAGAAATGTACGGAGTGGTGTTGGTCAGGCATTGTTAGTGCTTTTGAACTTGTAAACATCCTGACGTGGAAAGTCATCTATATTAAAAAATCCTGTTTTATAAAGACTGGAAATCTCAGCCAATTCTGACTGATAAAGCCTTAAGGTCCTGACTATCTCTGTCTAGCAGTCGCTATGACGTGCTCATTGTGTGCCTGATAATAAGTGTAGAAATGCAAAATGGATGATGTGGTGCTGGGGGCGGGGCGTCTCTGTGAGTCTGCACCCTTCTGCCAGGCTGCCAGGCGGGAGGCTTGCTTGCTTTCCAGCAGGTGTTGCCTCATTTCGCAGCCAGCTGGAAACCAGAAACCCAGAACAGGTCGTGCGGCTTTGTCTGTGTGCGTGTGTCCAGGCTCACCGCCGGCCTGGGGCGTCGCACGCCTGCAGGAATGAAACAGTCTCTCCTGTGCCAGTTGTACATATCGATTACTCACCTGTGCGCTGCCTGTACTGCATTATTAACTTTAGCATTCAAATCAAGGCTAGGCCACGGTAGAAAGGGAGATGCAGATATCCACTTTTTTTGTTAAAACAATATGAGAGCATGCCTTAACAGGCTATTTTCCTTGGGTCTCTGTGTTCTGAAGGTCAAATTGTAAGGAGTGTGACAGTGGATGTTTTGAGCAATTTTTTGTCTCGGGTTACTGTATTTGTGAAAATACATACCTATGAATGAATCGTAATGGTCGTTCTGATTTTGAAGACTGAGGGGAGAATCTGCCTCTTTCACGAGACTGCAGGGAGCACTCATTCAGCTTCATACGCCTTAACCTTTATC